AAAACTCATCTTGTTTAAATTAAAATTCAAAAAAATAATTCAGAAATGTAAATTGTGGATGGGGAAATGTTCATTTTTAACAACATGCAGGCTCATCTAAGCAGGTTTAACACTTGATTGATTTAATTATTGCTGGTAATTTAATCATTATATGGAAATTATATAGATATATTTATTTTAGTGTCTCGTGGTACTAGTTGTGTGGTCTATTGGGTAAATGTTCTGTTAAGACTTAAAGGCTTGGTTTATAGCTTCATTTCTCAGAGGAAGCCTTGGCCTACAGGCTGTCTCTGCCTTGCCTCTGCCTGCAGTCCTGCTCGTAAACTGTGGCCATTGCTGCACAGCATCAAAACCCAACAAATCCAACCAGTCATTTTTTTTCTATCACTGCACAATTATTTCATCCTAAGCATGAATATATCTCACATCTTTTCTTTCATCACCTCTCCTACTATGTTTGTCAATGCTGCACATAGCTCCACCAGCTCCCTCCTCCTCCACCTCCCCGCTCCTCCCTCATGTCCATTGATTTTAATGAATCTGACAGGTGCAAGCAATATGGTGGAAACCTGTCTCATCCTTTAGTTCACTGCAGCGAGCTTTGTAAGAAAATAGGTTGTCAGCTGCTACAGGCTTCCTCTACTAAATGGTACATAAATGAAACTCTCTGATTTCGCTTGGACGAGATCTTTGAATTTGTTTTGTTTTCTTTTTCAACAAGAGGAGATCTGCAGTGATGTTTCACCATTCTTTCTTTTGGTAAAGGGGAAACCTCCAAGCTCGTTTTTGACGTATGATGCAATCAAATGCACCATTTTCATCCACTCCCACATGTGTCTCTTGATGCAACAATACTTTTTTCTTTCTTTCTTTCTTTCTTTTTTTGATTCCTCATGATTTATAAATTGCAAGCTCTGTGAAGGCAGGGTGCAGTACGTACTTCTGTGTAAACCTGCTTGAGCTCACCTGAGCTTGAGCTAGCTTGCCTACTCAGCACGAGGGGGACGTGACCCCGTGTTCCCCGTGCAAAGAAAACGAGTTAAGTGAAAATGAAGGAGAAATGATGGAGGTTAAAGACAGAGTTTGCTTTGTAGTTGCCCCACATTTGCAGTCACTGAAGGCATTTCCGCCTCTTTAAAGGCCATGGACAAAGATCTGACTGTGTCTCCCGTAAGCAGGGAGTTTGGCGTTTGAAGGAACAGGCACGGGCTTTGATTTCAGAGTGGGATGCATTGGCTTGGATTATATAAGATAAGGAGGAGGAGAGGATAAAAGAGACACGATAAGAGAGAGAGAGTGAGAGAGAGCCAGAGAAAATTCAGAGAAAGTGGCAAATGAAACAGCTGCCCTGAGACAGGAGGCATGGGATTCGGGTTGAGAAAAGTCATAGTGAGAACACAAAATGTAGCGGAGAGACACTGAGAAATGACACCAAGCTGTCAAACAGAAGCACAGAAAGTTAAAGAAGGCAGCTGAAGAAGACAGGGTGAGTTGAACAAGGTCACGGTGGTAGAAGGTGTAAGGTTCTTTTTGATTTGGAAAGAAAAGTAAGCGCAGACAGAGTCCTAGGGGGTGTCCAAAAAGTGATTTATTAAACACACACTTATTATACAGTGTGGGAAGCCGGTCTTCCCTTTCTGCCCGTTTACAGAAAGCTTTATAGCCTTTATGACGTCAGAACAACTCCTGGAAATCACCTTCTTCAGAACAACAACTCTTTCCCAGACTTAAAACCAGATGTTTCCAATCATCAGTATTTGGGAACATAACAATTGTGTAAGACGAGTGTGCCGTTGTGTAAGATTGTAGGTCCAGGCTAATGAAAGTTCAGCGTCCTCATCTGACTTACTGTG